TTTATCGAGCTATCTGCGACAAAACTCTCGAGCACTAATATCTTTCTGCAAGATACCTTTAATAATAATAAACATGTATGTTACTAATTTAAAATAACAAAAGCGGTGTGCTTACAAAAGAAAGCTATATAATTTTATTTTAATAGAACATGCAATATTTTTTATTCTAATATTATGGGTGATTTTCTTTTATTTTGTTCGATTAAATGCACGATTCGAATTTTCCATATTGGTAGAAATATATCGAGATATTTAAAATCCACATGAAAATCAATATCAATAACTGCAGAAAATACAATCAAAACATTACATCGATTTATGATACTATCGGCGTAAATTTAAAGTATCAAAAAATTACTATCTAACTGCATGATTTAAAATTGTAAATTTCCGTAGTAAAGAAAAGTAAATTTTATTTTTACTTTTCAAAAGAAAAATCTTTCTGCAAGAACTCTAACGTTCAGCGACAAAGTTGCTGTGTCACTGCAATTCTGCCACGGGGACATTTAATATTAAATAACAATTAAGAACTCAATGTATATTTTCTAAAGCCATTAAAATATAAAATTTTTGATCAGTTAAAGTTCTGATAAATAAAGTGTCAAAATTAAATGAAAATATCACTTAATTTGAAATGTAAAATTATTGACTAGAACACAAATTTTGACTTCAGATTAATTGAAAATATTGACTATACAACAAATTTTGACTTCAGACTTGCAAGAAGATTTAAATTCTGACCAAATTCTGCATAGACTTAAAAATAACAAGTTATATCTTCTTTAACTCCAAAAAAAATTTATATATCCTTTAATATTATATTTTACCTTAAATAATGAAGCTTTAAGCTTGCGTGTTCTTTAAAACAAACCACAAAACTTAAGTATTCAAACTGAAATAAGAATTTTTTCAAGTGCAAAAAATGGCAAATTTTCACGATTTTTTTTTTCCAACAAGAAGCTACATTAATTGAGAATTAAATAATCAAGTGCCAAACACTAATACAAATAGTTTTTAGAAAAACATGAAAAACTTTAACCACAAAACCATTTTAACAAATGAAATTCAAACTTGTACCAGTTCACCTGTCTAAAATATGACTTTAGATTAAGATACAAAGTTAACTGTAACTTAACATCTTTCACAATCAAAAACATAAACAAGAAATTTTGCTGCTATCTAATACATCACAAATTTATATCTAACACGTCAAAAATTTCTCCTTCCATAAAGACATAGGGAGACTTTTCAGAATGGAGCTACTTGAACTCCAAATTGTTAAAACAGTTTCCATTCTTTCTTTAAAAATTTAATCAGTTTAATCTTCAAAACAAGATTGGAGATATTCCATTTTTCACCTTCTTAACAATTCATTCAGTATTAAATAAAATACATTAATTGAAATGCAAAATTTTCCTACATCGTACTGAATGCTTTTTTAATTCACAATCTTGACAGTCAAACGACTCTCCTATATTTTGTAAGTTGAAAGAATTTGGAGACTACTTCATTGGAGCTCGCCCCTTTGGGATGCACAGAAATAGACATATGTAGATTCATATACAGCTTTAATCTAGTATCACTACTTACACTAAATATCATTACTAAGTGACTTCTTTACATTAGGACTATGACTACCCAATTTTATCATACATAATATACGAAGACAAAGCAAAATTTCTTTCCAAAACAATTGAACAAAAAAAAATCTAATTTATAAACAAATAATCCAACCCTTATTCATAATCTGAGTAATCAGAATATACACTACACTTACCTTTAGAACAAGTAAACAATTTCATAACAAATGAATAGAATAATAAGAATTCCATACATTTCTTATTTAAAATAATGCTTCAATAATAAAACAATCAACTGTTTCCATGAAAAATAAATAATAAACATAACAATTCAAAAGAAAGTTAATGTTATGCAAAATAAAAATATATATTTACCAGTTGCACAAATATATGTCCGATGCGATTTGTTCTACAAAAAAGGAAAGAATTAGAATAAATGTAGAGATAAATTTTAAACTACCATATAAAATATCACACACATATAAGAAAAAAATTACGCATTGATAGTCACTTTATTTCTCAAAATTTTACTTTTTAAATGAGACTTTCATACCAACACTTGAATAAATTAAATTCTTTAAAAATATGAAACGATAATTTTTTAACAAGTACAAAAAATAAAACTAGGGTAATTTACCTTGTTTAAAACTCTGGTTAAGTACGATTGTTTAATGTTTTTAATATTTTTTGCTAAAAATCTAGAAGAACATAAACACAAACCAGCCATGTTCAAGACTACTCTCTGCTCTCTCTCCCGGTTGCCGTTATTCCATCCATTTCCGGTTCCGGATTGTAAATTTTCACCTTCAGAAAACGTTTTGAGGTCGCATTAAAGTGGTATGCTACTTAGCTTTTTAATAAATAAATTGCCTTGGTTTATCATCTCTCGCAGATGCAAGAAGGAGCGAGGTAGGGCAAAACAAAACTGTACTAACGGTTCAAAAGAGTAAAAAAAAGAAAAGAAACATTGTGGTTTATCACATCACTTACTTTTCTAAATGATTAGTGTCCCGCAGATCGTTAAGACACAGTTCCCAGCAGATCACCGAAGTCAAGCACACTGGCTGTGGTCAGTGTGCGGGTGGGTGACCACTTGGATCAGTCTGCGTAGAGACCAAGAGTGTGCGGAATTGGTCCTCGTTAAACTGTTCTACCGTAGAGTGCTCGACTTCGCGTGCAGGTCATCTGGCTATCGAAGTAGGGGTGCCATCCTCTCTGCAGAGGATCAAAATTGTGATGGCATGTCTTCGGATCATCCTGAGGGATGCTTCCCAGACCGTCGCCAATAGCCCATTGTGCAGCTCTAGTGTGACGTAAATGAACTACAATAACATCTAAATGATTAGTTTTGTTTTGCTATTAATTTGTATCACATTTTTACTGGAAAAGTGAAAAATGTGTTCAGTTTCGTTTTATTATTATGTATTTATAATAAATATTCATAAAATTAAGTTATTGTAGAAAAAGGCAGTTGTCGCCGCACCTAGTATTTACTACCCATAATGTCCAAGATACCTGGCACTTGGATAAACCATTCCCCGCCGAGTCCAAGGAGAACACAGAATCCTTTATTTTGTAGGCCAGTTTCAACTATCTTTCTGCAAGATACCTTTAATAATAATANGGACCAGGATCCTTACACATCTGTAAGAGTTTTTTTTTTTTTTTTTTTTTTTGAATAAATCCAATTACGGCATCATTTCGTTTTGGAAATGGATGACAGTCCATAATTCCCATTATCGGCATACCTTGATTTGTTTCAATTACGTCTAATTCATGCAAACCGATTACACAGGTTAGGAGTTCCTTTAAAGGGTCCGCATTATTGCGATTGATTTTCCTCATTTGAAAACCATATTACAAAATAACTTCTACAGGCATTTTGGCTCATAAAGTAGCTCGAAATGATAGACTTTCTACAATCACTTTTTATACCAGTTGAGCAGGATGTCATCCAGGACAGGGGTTATAAAACTGGAAACCAGTTTCCTTAATCTGTCTGAAACGGGATGTATTTTCCCTTACTAAAATTTAAGGTATTTTTTAGGTTGTGTTGAGGTATATTTTAACTTGGTAAGAAAACAACCATAAAACTTATACATCATGAAGGTTGTAACTGAGGTGTAGAAGGTTGTTTTACATATACACTTCAAATCAACTACAGGCTAATGAGGTGATTTTCAAGGTATACGGATTGTTTTTCTGACACTAATAACAAAAAAGATATTTATGAGGTATAAAATTTTTTACCTCAGTTCAACTAAAGAAAGTGAGGTATTTATTGAGGTGCATGAAGTCCTTTTATTTATACCTAAGCTTATTTTGAGGTTGTTTTAAATTCACTTTATATTAACCAGACTGATGAGGTGATTTCTGACACTTGTGACAAAAGAGGTATTTATGAGGAATAAAAATATTTACCTTATTTCATTTAAAGAGAATCAGGTATTTGAGGTGTATGAAGTCATTTTATTTATACATAAGCTTATTTTAAGGCTGTTTAAAGTGACTTCATATCAACTAGACTGAGGAAGTAATTTTTAAGGTATACAGGTTGTTTTTCTGGCACTTATAACAATAGAGGAAAGTCCGATACTTATTGAGCTTTAGAAGTCATTTTATTTATATCTAAGCATATTTTGAGGTTGTTTAAAGTACATATCATATTAATTAGCTCACTTCCCAGAGCTCCGTGCGAGCCAACGAATGGAATGAGTGTTGATAATCGAAGTCTATGCGAAAGTCGGTAAGTGTGTGTGACATTTATTTGTTTAGTTTCATCGCTTTTAAGCAAACATGCTTCAATTTTCAAACTTAAATTTTACTATTTGTGTATTAAAGGCGTGTATTGATCTTAAATTCTTAGAGGCTATTGTTGTAGGCTTAGCAATAAGAGAGAAAAAATCGGTCTGTTTCTCGTCTCTGTTTAGGGTAAAGCTCAGGTCAAGCACAGTATATTTTATTGTTAGCTATTTACTTAAATATAACTATTTTTTTATTTTGCTTAATGTATATGTTGTAACGTAGCAGTATGCAAGCTGGTTAATTGAATAAAATGCTCATAATTTCTATTATAAATAAATCATTGAAAATTGAAACATTTCAAAATAGCAATTTTGCTTTGAAATTCTAGCAACTGTAAGCTGATCTTTTGCTTGAATATCTGTTTTCGTATGCAAAGTTAATATTTTTGTTTATGAGTGGTGGATACCATGTTATATATATGTATATATAGGAGCGAGAGGAAGATATGGCTAGCTAGCTACTGGTCAGCCTTTTTCTGGGAAATAGTTCAGAATTTATACCAACAATAAAAAGTAATCTCAACTAATAAACTACGGAATTTATGTAATTGTTGATAACAATAGTTTTGATAATTGAAATCTAATAACTGTGCTAGCTCACTTTTTCATGTTTGATCACAGAGCTGTTATTTTTCAGTACATATTATGTTTTCGCAATTTAACCATGTTAATTATTTAACTGGATTGTTTTTATTTATTAGAAAAATACGCACAATTAAATAAAACCAGATTTCAAGTTTGTATGATAATTTATTTCAAGGGTATGAGAATTTTTATGCTTCTGCTTATGGTTCACTACTTAAAAAATTAGCAAATTTTAGAAATCCTAAATTTTTTTAAAAATAAGGCAGTATTGTTTCTTATGTAATTTTAATGCCAAATAGAATAAAATCAATTACAAATAAAAGCATTTATAGTTTGAAAGTTATAATAATTTTTTTTTTTGAATTTTACCCTATAAGATATGTTTTTATATTTAAACAAATGAATATAGCATCTAACAATTATTCTGCTCGGTATTAGAAATTACATAGGAAATATTTTACTCAATCTCTTTTAAAAGCATTATTCAAATCGTTCTCTCTTAGACATTTTCCTCTCATAAAATTGCTCTCAACTTCAAAACAAATGCTCCTATCAGCTTGTGATTAGTTTTGTTCGATTGGGTTTAAAAAATTGGCGACTAACTTAAAAATTTTATGTTATTAAATACAAAAATTATAAAAATATTTTTGTATTAATAAAAGCATTGAAACTCTTTCATTTTCATATAATGCAGTTATTCTATTTTGGGACTCCAAGGTTGAAAACATATACCAATGAATAATAAGATTTATTAGATTTATGTTTCAAAAGAGGAGTTATTTTAAGATCTTTCACTTCCATATAAGGAAGGATTAAACGATTTTCTATAAGTAATAAATAATTTTGATGAGGCGTAAGAATACAGGAAAGGCAATATGACTGGCCTCTTCACACATTTTAATTATCCTATAAAACGCAGGACCGATGGTTTTATCGTGGCTTTTTGGTGTATAATGTTCACCAACAAAAATCCGTCAGATCTGACTGTAACTGTGTCTCCCCCCCCCC